TGAGTAAAGGTTAAAAGACAGACTCGGGGCGCCTGGATGGCGCAGTCGGTTAAGCGTCCGACTTCAGCCAGGTCACGATCTCGCGGTCCGTGAGTTCGAGCCCCGCGTCAGGCTCTGGGCTGATGGCTCAGAGCCTGGAGCCTGTTTCTGATTCTGTGTCTCCCTCTCTCTCTGCCCCTCCCCCATTCATGCTCTGTCTCTCTCTGTCCCAAAAATAAATAAACGTTGAAAAAAAAAATTAAAAAAAAAAAAAAAACAGACAGACTCACTCACTTATAATAAGGAGTTCCATAAATATCACTACTAGAAGTAGCCATTTGGAAGCTTCTCCAATAGGTTAAGGAGGAAATAAAGTCTCAGCTTTCTTTATCTGTTGACTAATATAAGACACGGGGAATTAAAGAAGGGAGAAAGCCTTTACTTGTCTCCCTTGAATTGTAGGGACAGGAGTTTGGTGCTGACCTTTCAATGGTAGTTCATGCCTATGCATGGCCACCATTTTGAGTAAAGGGTTAGTTATCACATCACATCAGAGTCTGGCACCCACAAATCAGGACAGGCTTAAATCATAATGAGTTCAAGGAATAGAGTACGGGAGTGGATTTCATATACTCTCAGCTGAGTCTGATTCAGCCTAGATCTATCTTAAAATTTACATGAAGTCAATTCTTTACGGTCTTTCATTGAGTTATGAAGTGCCTTAAAAGCCTGCTACAGAGTGAAGTATTCATTTCATGTTCCCTATATAAATAGAAATGGATGATAAGAAAATATTGGAATATTTTCATACATAAGTTTAAACTATCAGAACACAGTATTTTCAACTTACCATCAATTTAGCATTCAGTCTTCATGTTATACTGTGACAGGTCTCAATGTTTGAACATAAGCTGATTTCTGGTTAGCAGCGACTATTATTTCAGAACAGGATACACAGTATCATGTATGCCTGAAGAACGGCTATCAGCAACATGTATTGCATCTATATTAAATCATCTTCTTGTTAAATAGGACTGGATGGACATATGCTCAAATAGTACCACAAGAGGAGTCTAGAGTAAAAGAATATATTCGATTTTTAGAAGTGTTATATTCTGAAAAATTAGATTCCACTCCCAGCTGTTAAAATCATTCTGAAGCAAACCAGAATGAAAGTCCTATAGCACTTTATCACATTTCCATAGGAGAAAAGTTTTTCGATATTACCTCAGTTTGCAATCAATAAAAGAAAAGAAATCCACGAAATTTCATCCTTAAACCTCAGATGGAGAGAGGAGTGGTATGTTGAATTGAAATTGAAGCCGGGTTATTACAAGACTTTACTTAAAGCAATTATTGTATTTCTTTAGAGTTCTGCAAGCTCTCAAATCACAATTTAACTGCATGACTAAAGCTGTATTAAAGACTCAAAAGCAAAGTTTTCGTAAAGGGAGGAAAATGGCAGCTAGAAATTTAATGGGGTTCAAAAATACCAGCTAGATAATCATGCCACTAAAAGGTAGCATTTCATGTTAACTTCGAATGAACATAAACAAAACTTACTTAAATTATGATCTGTAAACACTTAAACCTCTAGAGCGGGTTTGGCAACGGGAAGATTGAAGGATGACGGGTTTGGTTTGGGAAACGCCGATAGACTGTCAGGACAATACCACGTGGCATTCGGGTGACTTTGGGGAGGCAGTGGATTGAATTAGTAGCATATACACAGTTCCAGCAGTATTTTATATGCAACTCAAACCTTTACCACCCACATTCCTCCCTCCTTTCCCACCATACACACAGAACTTGGAGAAACAGAAAAAAGAATGCGGGCTTCACACATTCATCTTTCAGAACAAAATCCTGCATAAAAGAAATGGGTAGTTGATATGATCTCACATGCCTATGAAGCCTGTCCTTGTCTATTCTTGCACACTGGCTAGAACGAATATCAACAAAAATCCACCCGTCACAAATGTACATTTTTAACGGAGATGAATAGTTCCAGCTATTAATCTTAGGAAAGTTAAGTGATTTAGGGAGTAAACAAATACATGTAAGCTCTGACAAGGGGGAGGTCATCATAGATGAGGTTATTAAATGTAGTAAAAAGTAAAGATAATCCGAAGCATTTTTTTTTACTTTATCTTCTTTCTTTCTTTTTTTCTTTTTTTTTTTTTTTTTTTTTTTTTTTTTTTTTTTGTGAAAGAGAAAGAGTATGAGTGGGGGAAGGGAAGAGAGAGAGGGAGAGGAAGAATCTTTTTTTTTTTTTAATGTTTATTTTTGAGAGAGAGACAGAGTGAGAGCAGGGGAGGAGCAGAGAGAGGGAGACACAGAATCCAAAGCAGGCTCCAGGCTCTGATCTGTCAGCACAGAGCCCAAGGCAGGGCTCGAACCCAAAGACTGCAAGATTATGACCTGAGCTGAAGTCGTACACCCAACCGACTGAGCCACCCAGGCGCCCGGGAGAGGGACAATCTTAACCAAGTTCCACAGCCAGGGTGGAGCAAAAGATCATGACTCTGAGATCACGACCTGAGCTGAAATCAAAAGTCTGATTCTTAACCGAGCTACCCAGGCGCCCTCGCCCTTATTATCTTTTAAAGTATTGTGTTCCAAATGGGAATGTTCCTTGATTTCAGTGTTAGGGTAAGAAACATACTGACTGCAGGAAAATGAATTGCACCATAAAAATGTAGACATTATCTAAAAAGCTCAAGTCAGCCTTAACTGACATCCACAATTCTTACCATCAGGAATTACAATTAGGAACTTGGTATTTACTTTTCTGAATGGCTCACACAGCATTTAAATTCTTAATACATTTATTTTTCTTATTTAAAATTTTTTTAATGTTTATTTATTTTTGAGAGAGATACAGCATGAGCAGGGGAGGGACAGAGAGAGAGGGAGACAGCATCGGAAGCAGGTTCCAGGCTCTGAGCTGTCAGCAGAGCCCAACGCGGGGCTCGGACTCACCGGCCTTGAGATCATGACCTGAGCCAAAGTCAGATGCTTAACCTCCTGAGCCACCCAGGTGCTCCAGGTGTGCAGACTTTTTAATAATACTGACGTATAAATGGAAATAAAAGTGATGTATTTTTAAAATGTTCATGTTTTAGGTAATGCTATAGATTTCAATCTCAATAAGGTTTTATTATTTAAATAGAAAACTATTTAAATAAGTCTGAAGGTTCAGGAATTTTCACTAAGCAATTAAGTGAATAAGGAAATCAAAATATTCTCTTCTTTCCTTTGGCCATTTATGTAGCTAACCTTAAATTCAAATTTTATGTTCACGTTACAAAAACAAATTGCAGTGAGAATTTAGGAGTAAAGTGAAATCCTCAGTTTTACTTCTAAAATGTAAAAAATGATAAATAGAATACATTGTCACACACAACATATGGAACCCTGAGTGTCTATCAAGAAACCATTATGTAAGGTACTCTCAATCCTTAAAATTATCCTAAGAAAACAAATACGACAAAGAAAGCCCAATACTCCTGATTTTCAATACACTGCTCAATTTAAACAGGATGAATACCTTATACAAATGAAAATCAATATGTAAAAAAGAAAATTCCAAGACTTGTTGCTTTCAGCCATCACCCAGAATGAGTTTTACATTTCTTTTTTTTTTTTTTTTTTTTTAACGTTTATTTATTATTTAGAGACAGAGAGAGACAGAATTTCATGAAACAGGGAGGCAGTAGGAGGAGGGAGACACAGAATCCAGTAGGCTCCAGGCCTGGAGCTTTTGTCACACAGAGCCTGCAGTCTGGGCTGGTGAACTCACAAACCACGAGATCATGACCTGAGCCAAAGTCGGACGCTTAACCGACTGAGCCACCCAGGTGCCCCGTGAGCTTTATATTTCTAATGTTTAGGTCTGGCACCAACTTTTCATACTACTTACATTATTGGACTTTGGAATTAAAGAAAAATTAAGAAGTTGTACTTTGTATTGAGACCAGAAAACATTTTAGAGTACAGAGTATAGGTTTAAACATTTTAGACACGGGGCACCTGGGTGTGCTCCTCAGCTACCATCGGATTTCGGCTCAGGTCACGACATCTCAAGAAGTCTGTAGTCGGCCAGAAGCCCGTGGTCGGCTCTGCTCAGAGCCTGGAGCCTGTTTCCCACTTCTGGTGGAGTTCTCTCTCTTGACCCCCTCCCCCGTTCATGCTCTCTCTCTGTCTCAAAAATAAATAAACGTAAAAAAAAAAAATTTAAACATTTTAGACACATAGGTTTCTTAGAAAGATTTAATGCAATACCTTTTTAAAAATTAAGAGGGACTGTATTAACTATATGAGAAGTAATATTTAAATAAGGGTGTTCTTTATATTCTGTAACTTTGGAAAATGTGATTCTATATAGAATACATGTCTCAAAAGATCAAAGAGCTTATTGACTTAAGTGCAGAACATATAAACACCTTTGTGATTCCTAAGCAAAACTTAGACTTAATGAGAAGAGCAAGCTATGTTTTATGGCCCATGTCAACTATTTATTCCCAGAATACACCTGTCAGAGCAAAGGCAATTCTTGCTGATTTTTTATTTCCTGCTCTCAATAAATACATGGATCTTTTCCTATCCCATGTTCATAATAATGTATAAGACAATTTGGTCAATGCCTCATTCGCATTAGCATTGGATTATGGCACAA